CGTCATCCTTTCCTATCAAAATGCTTGCTACGGATGCGAAAACGCAGAAAATCGAACCTGATCTGAATTTTTTTATGACGGACGAAAGTTTCGGAGGCAGTGTGCAAATGTGATTGACACAACGTGAGCTCGTATTTATTTTTTAACTTGCAAAAATTTCGGACTCAGTGTGCAATGACCTTTAGTTTGATGAGCAGGTACGGAATTCTGCGAAAAAAGGACGGATTGCTTTACGGCAGCAACAAACGCACGTGTGCAGCTATGCACTGTAATTACGACAGCGACACGACGGCAAAATCCACTTGCATAACTGTAGGGGGCTCCAAAAATACACAAAGCTACATACAAGTGCTGTAATATTTAACGGCAATGGACTCTATTTATTTCCAAGACCATGGGAAAACTCTTGAAAACTCATTATCATAATTCTTCAATAAAGAAGTATGCACTATTCAATTACATAATTAGGTGACAAAATATGAATTATTTCTTATGTTTAGTACAGCTAAATGTCCTAAACTTGACTTCTGAATACCAACCCTGGACATACAGTATTTAGTCACTTACCCAAACTAAATATTGCTTTAGCAGTTATTTTAGTGGTTCTCAGGGTGTCATACTCACAGCGCTAATGTAGTCTGAATGAAGGTAAGCATGCAGGATACATACATTTAATTTCATTCTCCTGCTTCTTCTTCTGGCAAGCTGGGGTATGAGCTCCAGAAGAGGGTGCAACACAGTAGACTGACACATACACATATATAGAGAGATATCATGAAGACAGACATGGAGAGATATGAAAACCATGAACATCTGTTCCTGGCCAGGGGTCGCAGAGAGGATTCATTTAATGCACACGTGTCTGTCCTCAGTGCGACTCAGTGTTCATTTTGCACACACGGTGCATTGATGTTCAGTAAAAACGCAATCACATGCAGGCCATGCCAGAGCACATGACAACATACAATGTGAGGGAGTGTTTAAAAGCAACATATAGCAATTTGTTACAAATATGCAGTACATTTGGCTGCATATTTGAAACGAATCTCAACTGGCATATAAATATTTTAAAATGTAAAATTAATCAATAAATGTCTGTATGATACACGTTTAAAGAAGAAATGTGGTTAACATGCAAGGAATGGACAGTTGGGAGGAAAAGACACTGAACACTTCCTCTGACTGCATCAACACAAAATGGCATGTCAATTCAATTTGGAATTAAAATTAAAATTAGGTTCTATTCTGGTTTGCGTTGCTGCCAAAATTCTGATATTAATTCAGAAAAACAAACACAAAAAAATCTAATATTTAAAGGGAATATCTAGTGCAAATGATAACATTTAGGTTATTTTTAGAGAAGAAAGTAATTTATAAAATCAATGTAATTATTTTCTGTTTCTGTCATAAGTGTGAATGCTGTCAAGGAGGAATCAAAGGATATCAGAGGTTACATGCATGCAAATGGGAACTGAAGAGCAGATAGTTAAATACTGTAGGATGATAATCTGATAATTATCTGAAAATAATCTGAATACTAAAGATGCATTTAGTGGTCTGCTATTTTTGCTATTAGACTTAGTGGAAACATTAAGATAATATTCAGGTAAAATGATCAAATAATTTCAAGTAAAATCAATATTTTACATCCACGTATTTATTTATTTTGCAGTTACTTACATTATCCTTTATATCCAGTTTCCTAAGAATGTGGCTATATTGCATTTTGATTTTCCATTACCTTGGCCCAAAAGGGAAACGTGCAGTGGCCTAAAATACAATTTATTTCATTCACTTGAGCTTTAATTAATGAGTATTATATCCCTAATTAGGATATGCAGTTGGGTGTGTTATTGAAGACAGTGCAGCGTAGCAACAGTGGCTGAGTGTTAAAAGCGACATACACTTAAACAACCCGTGAGGAAACCTACCGTCCCATCTGACAATCCTGCACCGTTCGGTTTAGTGTAATGAAATAAAAACTACACATACATGTATAGACACACAAATACAAAACCCAAACAGAAGTTACACAAACACCAAAAATCAATAAGATAAAAACATGAAAAACATTCATAGAATGGAAAAAAAACAATATCCATAAAAAAGACATTATCCGTATAAAAAACCATACAATTACAATCAAACATACATGAATAGACAAAGATAAAAGGATGCTGGTGTTATGGTGTCATTGAATTGTCATTGCACTGAATGTGTCTGAGACGACCTCAAATTAAGACTGCAAATGTCATACACTCACCCTTTTGCTGGTCTCTCGAGCTGTGATCTCCTGCATGTACAAAAAAAACAGAAAAATGAATCGTCTTTTCATTAATCTGTGCATTACTATACTGATAACTAGACCCAGACAGATTTTTGCACAACTATTTAATAAACAAATACGTAAAGGTTGGCGATGATGTGTAGAATATTTGTGAAATCTTCTGCGTGTGCTGATTGCATGTGGGCATGAATAATATTCACCTCCGATTTTTGCAGTGATCCCAGCATTAGGAAACACAGGTCCTCCAGGACATCAGATGTCTGGCAAAGGTTAAAAGAAATGTAAGTGGAACGTTTAAGCCTTTTACTGTGCTTAAAATCCTTAAGTAATTCACTGTTCCTGGTCAAAAATTATCAGCATTTTTTTTTTTTAAATGCTTGTAAATCGGAAGGCCATTATGCTATATTATTACCAAATTCTGGATTCAATCTTTTTGCCAGCTTGTTTTCTTTCATTTTAACTTCTTTTCGTTTTATGGATCAGATCTCTGTAGAGCCGCTTTATATCTTCAAATTAGTTTATTATTGATTAGTTTTGCAACATCAACACTGTTATTGAACTGAGATGAATCAACATGGAATTGACTTGAGCTGAATAACAATACTGTCTTCATTTGAGCTGCTTATTGCTGAATTGAACTTATTTTTAATTATTGAACTTTAACAGTTCAACTGAACTGAATCAACAAATGAACTGACTGGAACTGAATTAATGTCAATAATTTCTTGCCACAGTTGCTTTACAGCAGAATTTGAATTTGTCTTATATTTGGTGAAGTTAGAATCACTGATTAATGTTACTTCCCCGTTTAAAACTGTACATCTGCTTTGAAACAATCTCTATTGTGTAAAGCACTATATAAATAAAGGTGACTTGACTTGGTCTCTCAAAAACTCAACTCAGATCACTGAGGCCTATGACCAGTCAGTTCCAAGAGAAATACAAATCTAATCAAAAGAAAACAAGTTAACAAAAAGATTGAATGAACTAAAATTCTAACGGTTCAATATGGTCCAGAACACAATATGAGTGTTAAACATTTGTAGCTGAGCCAAATGAGTCTGCCTTGTACTGAAATTGTTGACGGTGTTAAATTATTGAAATGAATTCTTATAGAAAAGCACAATTCACTTGGTTCACTGGGATTCACAGAGCAGTTAGCCGTCTGTTAGCACAAAGTTTCTCTATATTGCTCTTTTACAGTTATACCATAATCCACTCTTGGTTTGGTTCCTCAATAATACACAGTAGCTGCATTGCAAATGGCAACAACGCTGCATTACTCACTCTAAAGGATGGGTCTGCAGAGAGGTAGAACGAGCACAGTTCAGTTATCTACAACAAAAGAGAAATGCAGTTGTAATTTTAGGGCTTGCATAAATGAAGATTCAAAGAGCAAACTCAAAATGAATCACATATCATTTATGTGTTGCGCTGTTCATTTCAGCCCATGGCCATAAACATGCATTAAACCATGCTTTCATATCCCAGCCTCTAGATCCCCGGGTTTACCCTTGTAATTTCTCACGTGCACACAGTTAGCACATGTAAACAAAGCACAGACGTAATCATCACCTTAGAGAGTAAAGTTAACCGGTATTGAAACTGAACAAATATAAGTCATTTATAATAAACTTTTGTCTCTGAGGAAATTTGTATATAACTGAAGGCAGTATAGAGAGAGATTTATTGGGAGAGTTAATCTATATGGTAAAAATGAAAGAGCTCATAAGTACGTCTATTGACAGTAAATCATACACACCTGGGTTAGTAACTGCTCATGCTCTATTGAAGATGGATTCAAGAGCACTGGAGCACCTGCAATCCATGCAGAAATCATTATTACATATATTCCAGTAATAATATTTAGTGTTGAATGAATTGTGCATGGAAAAAAATCATGTTGTTGACACATTGAATTCTACACAGCATACTGTAGTTTTGTCCACTTATAATGATTCCAAAGTCTCCATTGGTCATAATTATTTGGCCAGTGAAATCAATCTGGAAGCCTTGACAGGGTTAGTGAGGTTTAGTTGTACAGGTCTGAGATTAATTACCTCTGCTTATCGATTTTCTTGTTTTGGTGATTTTGACCTCTTGTGGAATAAGCTCCAATTTAACTGAGTTTGTTTATTGATCTGTTGTATAGGTCTCTCAATCTGGCTTTCCTTTTTGAACCATTACTGTCAAAAGGTGTTTTCTGTGAATGATTTATGGGACCTGTTTAAGACCTGGAAAAAGTGAGATCATTCGGCTGTAACTAGTCAAAAACAACCACAATAACAAACAATAGTAAAGACCCCCCCAAAAAAGAGAAAAGGTCAAATCTATTGTTATAAACTTGCATCTTCATGACTCTCTGGGTCTCTTATGACATTTAACAATCAGTGCTGATGGTAAAATTTTATCTGTGTATTAATAAATGAGTCAAACAGTTGTCAAGGCTACTAATCTGTCAGCATCTCTCCTGGCATTTCTGGATTTCTTACATTGTTATAATATTATTCAAATTCTTGTGACATCACTGCTGTCAAAACGGACTCAACTGTACAATAATATTCTCACAATAATTCCTCTCAGTGACATCATAATTATCAGTTACGCGACTGAATCTAATTTGGTGATATTGCTCTTGGTGTATAGAGTGAATTCTTTATTCCTATACTGCAGATGATCAAGCAGATGATCATTTTAATCCTTGTGGTGTAATGATTATTCACAAAATGAATCATACGCGTAATACTGTTTATCTCATTTTGCAGGTTTAATGGGAAACATCCAGCATTTTTTATTGTGCTAATTAGTCTCAACCTAACAAGGCACTTTAACAGAATCCACTTCCCCACGTATATGCAGTAAGCTCTTAGTTAATGCATCACAATGACGCATTCCTGCTTATTATCTACTGACACACTAATGCAGCACATTTTGAACCACAGACAAGAGTTCTAAGCCTTCAATAAAGCTCAAAATTATTTACAAACATGAAATCAGTAAAAAGTCAATCTAAAGACAAGATAAAGACAGAAGTTGCAGTGGTGGACAGCAACAGTTGTTTTTTAATACCTGTTGCAATATTTATGTATTCCATTCATTTAATTTGTCACAATAAAGGTCATAATTTCTGCTTGATCTTTATAATTATATAAAACATTTTATCCTCATCAGTAATTTAATCCAGTGTGATTAAGTGGTATGAACTGAACTGTGCAGATTTTTACATTTATACAAGTACACTTTTATATATACCCTAGTAAAAAGGCAATATATTTAAAATACATGTATTTCATACTAAGTGTAGTTCAAATCTATTAACATATTTACTGACATATCGCTTGAGACTTACTGAGATAAAAATTATAATTAAACTTTCTTTGGAGTACTACTTGTGCACAATGCACATTTCTTAACAATTCTTATTAATTAACCTAAAATGTCACTATTGATGAGGATTGTATGTTTTTTTTTAATAATCTCGGTTTTTAAATGCAAGATATTTAAAGTGTACCTAAAGTACACTCGCAATAGTTCCACTTTAGCACAATCAAATATACTTCAGTATATCTTTATCTGTACTTCAGCGCTACTTCCACACAATTAAAGTGCATTAAGCACAAAATTAGTTCTTCCAATTTAGCAGACTTTAAGTATACTCGTTTAGTATAGCAAAATTACAACTGCAGGGTATTTTTATTAATACATAATATGTAAATGCATTTGCAGTATACTTAGCATGAAATAAATGCATTTCAAATAAATTTTTGTATATATATATATATATATATATATATATACATATATACATATATATATATGAATGATTGGTTTTAAAAATCACTGTTTGAGATATTAAATGATCTCAAACTAACTGATCTTCAAAAGCTTCTTTTTGATTGTTACTGTTTGATTTGTAAGGTTTCCAGAAAAATATAATGCCACACACACACACACACACACACACACACACAC